TTCCACAACAGAGGTTACCTGCCTAGAGCTGGAACAAAGAGGGAGAAGGTGCCCAGCAGGAGCTGGAACCACAAAGGAGATATTGCCCAAAACAGAAAGAGAAGCAAACAGGAGTGGGGTTTGGGAGAGGCATGGTTTCTCCCCCTTCCCATTTTCCAATCTCCCATCCCACCCCACAGGTGGAACCTAACTTGAAGCTAGCTGGCAAGGGAGCTTGGAAAAATGTAGTTTGCAGGGCTCATTCCCCTGCTGTACAGAGCAGAGCAGGGAAATAGAGAGGACGGGATTCAAGAGCAAACAAGCAAATTACTGGCACACCATCCTACCCGCACACAGAGATGGACTGTAGAGTACTTGTAGGAAAGCCACAGTTTTTCTCTGGAAGCAGTGTTGTTGTCTTTGCTCCACCACATAAATAATTAACCCAGTTCCCAACATTTGACATCATACAGATAAGATTCTGCCTAAACTAAGAAAATACTGTCACTTAGTATGAATTGATTTAGGAAAAGTATGAACTATTTTTCATGATTTATATGTTCTAAAAACTTCTAAAATAGCTTCTGGCCCAGTTTGAAGGCAAGCCTGACATTAAAAAGAGGGTGGGGAAGACAAACTATTTTTAAGAGAATTTCTTATGAAGAACTAGTAAATTGACTCCTTTTTACTTTCAAAATATAAAAGTAAAAATATTGATCAAAACAGGAAGTTGAACTAGGTGGGGCTAAGATTTTGATGTTAATTACAGATAAATTATCAGAGACTGTGAGCCATGAAGGATTTATAATTTTCTACCTCAGAAGTATACCATAGCCACCAGCCACTTGAGAAGAAAATATAATCTGTTTTGACTATTATGTGTCAAAATGTTAAAATCCTAACTCATTATACTGAAACCATATGGAAGTTTCCAAGGTTAAAATGCTGTGATTCTTACATTTTTCTCTTTCAAAGAGTTATATTTTATGACTTTCTATATCAGTTGTAAAACCTTCCTTTGGTCTATCTAAAATGCATCACAAAAATGAGGTTTTTAAAAATGTGATTTAGGTTGAAATATATATTATTGAATTCACATACTTCAAAAAATATCCTCACTTACTAATATTTTAGCATAAATTTTCAGGGATAAAAAAGTCCATATTTAAGTCAGGTCCCCTAGAATCTAAATTTATATTTGTAAGAAAACTTAAATACATAATTTGTATCTTTTAAAACTAATATGGATAAAAATAAAAAAGCATTAACTCCTCATGCCTACAAATTACTGAATCTTCCAAAGCTCTAAAAATATAGTCATTTAAAGCAAGAAGTCAAGATATCTAAGGAATCCAACATGTACTTTTTATTCAAAAGAATTTCAATTGCCATACTGATTTTTTCTCTTCAGTTTGGAGTATTAAATATATCAGATGAAATATATTTCATTTTAAGGTGCAATATGGTCATATTTGTCAAGGATGCAGAATCCCATGGTCCTTAAAAAGCAAAGATCACTGAAGAGTGAAGCATTTCTTCACTCTTCAAGCTTAAACATTTTTTCTTCCAAATTGTTTTCAGCTGCCAACTTTGTTTTAAAATGCTCTCAACTACCAATTTTGTTTTCAAATGCTCCAATACATTATTGTACAAATCTGGGAAACAAACTCAGACTCCTGACCAAAGCATTTACAGCAGTCTTGATGTTCCTGGTAATATACATGCTTCCTGTATTTGTAGTCTTGAAGCATTAGTACAATATTAACCTTTAAAATGAAACTAACAACATCAATCATTGGCCTTTACATACACTTTACAATTTCTTCCTGTTTTTAATATATCAGTGTTGGTGGCTTTCTTTAAAAAAAAAAAAAAAAAGAAAGAAACCGAAACACAACAACAAAAAATAACCTTAAAGAAAGAGTACAAAAAATGTAAATTGTAAAGAGCTCAAAATAATTATAGTTCCAGGTCTGCAATTTCCAGTGTAAAGAGTGACAGAATCTTTGAGCATACCAACGAAAGATGAAGCCATAGTCTTATATGATTATAGACGAGAAATGCTTTTGAGAAATGAGCATGCTATCGACCACAAAGACTACAAAATACTGCACGTGTTTCACTAATAAAATAATTAAAATCTGGATTTGCCTTAGTTCAATGTTATTGAGGGCGATCGTGTCCTGAACTCCTGTCTGACTAATTCTGACACCCAACCCGCCCAGTGCTCCTTCTACTCTCCCCCACGCCTCTAGCCCTCCCTCCCAGCACAAACGCACGCACACGCCCAGCCTGGCCAAAGATAAAGCTAAGATGGCAGCGCGGAAAGTACAGGAGCCGCACTCAGTGGGGCTGGAAAAACAAAAGCAAAGCCCTCGATATTCTGTCATTTTGCATATTTCTTTGAATAACAAGAACTACGCTCCCCCCCGCCAAATCCCAACAACTAGGCAGTGTAAGGCATTCAGTAGTTGTGCTCGCAGGACTGGCGGGAGGAGACGCTTGCTTTGCACATTTCGAGAAACCCACGTCTCCCGTCAGCAGTGACAGTTCAGGCGACCTTCGCGACTTGTCTTGGAGACCACCCACCCCCTCCTTGACAGTGGAATTAAGGGTTACTCCAAACGCCCTTTCCTTCCCGGCATGCGCCCCATTCCCCGCCACCCCAGGGGAGCCTTCCAAGGTGCCCAGCTGCCAAGGCGGTAGCTGTAGCAGTTGCAGTGATCGGGAGTGCACAGTGCGGAGGCAGGAAGAGGAGGAGAGAAAACACTGCACTGGCTATCAATTTTGTTACAGAGGCCACTGCCGCTGCCGTGGAAGGAAACGCTGCCAACCGCAACAGAAACGCCACCCTCGGATACTTAAGTGAGCATGTGTGCGACTCTGCGCACGCCTAGTTGCGCTGCTCATTGACAACGGGTTCTTTACGAAATTATCCTGTTACCAGGTTTTGGGTGTGCCCAGAAGGCTCAGGATGGGCCTGTCTAGGACTGAAAGGTACCGCAGACTGAAGCGAAATTTAGGAAGGGGAGGGAAGAACTTGAGACCAGGGTAGCCCCTTGAGTCACTCCTCACTAGAAAATGTAAATGGGCAACGACTGCACATGGAACCACCTAAGCTTAAGCTGGAACTGTTTCTCTGTGCAGGCATCATTCATTCATTCGTTTATTCAACCAATATATATTTCCTTCCTGCTTAGGGCTAGAGCCTGTGCTAGGAGCTGGGAATGTAATGGGGCAACAGACACAGACACCACGCCTATCCCTATGAAAAAGTCTAGAATGTTTTGTGTTATCGTTTGCAAAAGCCATGTGCCAAGGTGGCCATCCTACATGCTTGAAGCCCTTCCATAATCTCATGTAGTATTATTTTGACCATTATTCAGAGGACAAAACTTCCCCAAAGACGTACAAGTAGCAGAGTCAGGGGCCAAATCCTAGTTTGCCAGAGCCTTTGGCTACTGCCTCGACTCTTGCAATAGTAATGAGCCTTTGCAGCAGCTCCTACCTGCGCAGGCCTTTAACTCCACCAGCCTTTGGTCGCCTCCATACCTGTGTCTTGGCTCTCATCCTAGGGTTGTAACTACACTGAAACATCAGGACAGGAGTTTAGCCTAGCAAATACTCGTTAGATACTTAACTATGTGCTAGGTTCTAAAGTAGGGGCTGAAGAAGACACAAAGATGAATAAGAAGCTTTGAAGGAGCTTATAAAACAGTTGAAGAAAGAAAACAAGTACAAAAATTGTTTAACAGGGCTACTCACTGTACTAAAATACTATGATTCTTCATGGCTGCACTTTGCCCCAATGTTTTCATTACCCCACTTTAAAAAAAAAAAAACCATCCATCTATCTAAAAAAACCATCCAGATAAAATGCACTCCTTCAGCACTTCTGACCCCCAGCTAGAATTAATTTACTTCCCCATTTCTCAAAAGTTTTTGTTTTTTTAGATAACGACTATCGAAGAAGAGGTACAGACATAAGAGATAGTAAGTAGATAAAAGATCTAGTACTGGGATGATAGGACTTAATGATTTTGTCAAGTATAAATTTATATGATTTAAATTGAGAGTCAAAAGGATAAAATACGAATCAGGGTGCATTGGCACGTATATTTCTGGGACATTTACTTGAAGGCGTTAGTAGAATAGCTTGGAAGAGGGGACTCAGCAAATGTTACATTTTTATAGATAATAAGATTTTTGGTTAGATATGACATTTCCAGAGGTTATACAGACATAGCTATAATTATAGTTTCAGGTCATTGTCAAGAATTATCTTTAGCGATGTAAGTATGGGCAGAAAAAGATAAGCCATTAAGTGATCACTGTCAAGAGATAAGACCACTGCACTTTTAGAGTGTGTGTAGAGTCAATAAAAGAATATTTAAAAGTATTATTGGGTTAAGATCTGGCTCTGATGTAAATGTTGAGAACAAGAATTTAGGAACGACTCTGGCTTGTGAATACTTTCATCTCTATGAATCCTATTTGCACGGAAAAAAAAATGCACTAAATTACTACCTGTCCTTTGTAAGTAAAAGCTGTTTTAAACAGACTTAAATCCTAATGACAAAAAAACTCCAAAATAAGATCACCAAAGGGACTTCTCTGCCTTGAATTCTGAATTAACCAGCAGCACTGGTTAACTGTTCTCGTCAAATCTTCATGTTGGCAGCACACACGTGGGGGAAAATTAGCAGGAGTAAGTTCATCCTCCCGCGGTGGGCAGAGTCCGTCTTTCTTTCACGTTCCGGCTCTCCCACCTGAAGGGAACCCATTACCTGAAGCGGAATGCCGGTGTTGACAGCCTGCCTAGCACTTTCCTTACTCTTCCTATGCTGTTAGTAAAATCCGGAGAAGTGGATTTATTTCAGATTCCGTCCAGCACAACCGCCCCACACCCAAAGCCCCGAAGCGGAGGGAGTGGTAGCGGAGAGGGGGTGGGGACGGAAAGGGGCCGCCGTTACTGAGCATGTGCGACGAGTGGCGCATGCCCAGTGCGGCCGGCAGCTTCCCATTGCGGGTAGCCCCGGCGGTGGCAGCGGTGGTGGCGGCTGCAGCGGCGGCACCGCCTACTCCTCACACTCCCGAGGTGGCGGGGTTAGATGAGCGGCCCTAGTAGCGGCGAGGGCGGTGCGGGGGGGAGGAGGAAGAGGAGGAGAAGGAGGAGAAGGTCTCTGTCTTTGTAGTCTCCCTGCTGCGGGAGCGAGAGGCCACCGCCGGAGCCGTCGTCGTTGGAAAAGGGCTGTGTGTGTGCGCGCGCGTGTCTGCCGGCCCGGCCCGCGGGGACGAGGTATCGGTGGCGAGGATGATGATGTGCGCAGCGACTGCCTCCCCCGCCGCCGCCTCCTCGGGGCCCGGCGGAGACGGATTCTTCCCAGCCGCCACCATCTCTTCCTCCCCGGCGCCGGGGGCGCTGTTCATACCGGTTCCCGAGGGCTCCGTGGCTGCTGCGGGGCTGGGGCTGGGGCTGGGGCTGCCGGCCGCGGACTCCCGGGGTCACTACCAGCTGCTGCTGTCAGGCCGGGCCCTGGCCGACCGCTACCGGAGGATTTACACGGCTGCGCTCAGTGACAGGGACCAGGGGGGCAGCAGCGCTGGACACTCGGCCTCCAGGTGCGTCTCCGGGTGTCCTTCCTTGCGCCACATGCGGCATGTGTGTGTGTGTGTGTGTGTGTGTGTGTGTGTGTGTGTGTGTGTGTCTACGTACGTATTTACTGAGCTGTCTTTCAGCAAGCGCTTGATGCTGGGTGGTAGAAACACTTAATTGAGATAGGAGGGTGCGGTGGCAGCAGTTTCTGCTCTAAGTGTGTGCGTCTGTCTTTGTAGCGGGGGGTTAGTGTGGGTGGGAGGGTAGCGTGTGATAGAAAAGGTGATGGTGTGGATCGGTTATGACACGTGCGTGTATTGTTGAGGAAGGAGGAGGGACGGGGTAAGGGTACAACGAAGAGAATTTTCAAGAGTGGTGAGGGAAGTGGCGTTTCCAGTGTCTCTGCCGCAATGGTATTTACACGTATTTCTCACCCTTCACTCCCCACGACATTCCATTCTCCCCTTTCCACCTTAAAAAAATGCCTTTCACTTAGGGGAGCAATGGTACAGGTTCAGGATAGTGTCTCATATATATATATGTGTGTGTGTGTGTGTCTATATAGAGACACATATAATGAAAACTCGTTAGTCTGTCAGATAAGTTATGGGGTTTCAGTATTTAAGAGAATTATGCCAAAGGGATGCAGATGGAGATTATGTAGATGTGAAAGATGTCTGATACAGATTTTTGAGTTATACTTTGATAACTGGATATTTTAGTCTTCTAGAAATGTGGTTTCAGCTGCTCTTGTGTTCTGATGTCCCATCAGCCATTTCCCTTCATCTTGTGTTTTATTTCCTCTGTCACTTGTAGGCTTTAGAGTAGATGGGGTTTTGTGAGAAAAGGGGGAACACGGAAGAATTCCAAAATGTGACAGCTAGTATAGTGTTCAGCTGCCACCAACTAGAAAATTTGAGTAGCTCCTAGATCTCTTTCTAGGCTCACTGAACCTTCAGCTTCCTTGATGTAGGAGATGTTAAATCACTTTCATTTTCTTTTTCTTAAAATATGGGTGTTTTTTTGCTTAGGGCTCTTCTATTGTGGTTTTTTTTTCCTTTTCTTTTCTCATGCCCTTACATGCCACACACCCTGAAGGATGGTGACTGACTCGTTTCACCAGCTTGGCTTTAACAGTGGTAATTAGAAGTTGGCATCATCTTTTTTCTCATAGCTTTTTGCAATATATGGGAAATGGAGAAAGCACAGTAGGATTTTTGTTAAATATTACAGCATTTACTGTATTTATTGGATGTACAGTTCATTATGCAATAACCAGGTTTTATTTTCAACCATTATGAAAGGGACTAGGCTGTAACTCAGGTATTTGGAGTTATACCAGTATGTATTGTGGCTCTTATCTGTTGTAGAGAGTTGTAAAGGTGGAGCTTTGTTCACATTTTTTCTGGGTAAAACAGTCTTCTCGTGTCTAATTGTTTACAAGATTAGGCACATGAGTAGTTTTATCATATGGATATAAATATGTGTAATTACCTTTTGCTATCTAAGCTGAAGGCCACAATGGCACAAGTCGGTTTCTTGCTCATGTTTTTGAAAATAGCACAAAATCTCATTAGACAGTTTGCTCTGATCATCAGGTATAATTTTGAGCCATGAGTCTCTAAATGATGGCACTGTAGGTACATCTTTACAAAGCCCTCTTAAAGAATTAAAATTTACTTTGTATGTTGTTTCCAGACTTATGCAATCAATAATTTGTGACTGGTATATTCGATTTTAACTTTTTACTATTATACTTTTGTAATAATACAATTTCTATGTATCTAGAATTAACAGTTTTAGACAAAATTGATATAGATTAACCACATATAAAATTTATGAATGATTTTTAATTTTGGAGCCATATTTTGTACGAGCTGTCAATTAAAATTAATGAAGAATTAGTTCACGTATTTCAAGAAGTACTCAAGGAAACCAGCCTTAGTTGTACAATATTGCCTTCTACTGCTTCTTCAGAATATTATTTATTATCGTTCACATTATTTTTTCTAAGTCTTACCTTGCAACTCTTCTTTATTAAGAATATGCTTAAGAATTCAATCACATTTCTTATTAAATATGGGGAAAGTGGATCTGGGATTTAGGTTCTGAATGAATGATATTATTTATATAGGGGCATTAGTTGAGTTAAAGCAGCAGATTAGATCTTTCAGAGACAGAATGGAGCAGGTATAAAAGATGAAGCTCTAGTAAACATCACATTTAAAAATATGAGAGAAAGAGGACTATGAAGGAAGCTGAAAAAAGACAGAACTATTAAGAAGAGAACCACGAGGTAGTAGCCCATCTGGTCCTAAGAAAGTGAATTGAAAGTCATCAGCAGTGTTAAATGCTGACGAAAGTGAGAACACTTTCCAGGTCACTGATGACTTTTGAAGAAGTGGTCATAGTAGAGAGATGTGGGGGAGAAGTCAGTGAGAGATGTTGAGGTAATGGGGAGATGCAGGGTTGAGGGAAGGATATTTAAGTAAGGGAGGGTAGGTAGGAAACGTTTAGTAAGTAGAGGGAAATTAAAGAGGTGAGAGGGGGATAACTGATGGGGAGAGGTCAAAGGGAGATCTCAGGGACAGTTTTAAGATGACAGGTAGAGAGGGAGGTTAGCTATGGAAAAAGTTAGGAACTATTCCTTTAATATAGAAGGGGAGGAGGTAAGTATTTGTAAACATAAAGACTAGAAGTTTATTGAGGGTAGGAATTATATCTTATTTATTTTTTGATAATCCTATATCTAGCATAATATTTGGCATCCATTCTATAAATATCAAGTGCCTACTGCAAGCCAGGAACTGTTTTAGGTGCAGAAGATATAGCAGGGGAGAAATAAACAGCTGATAATATCAGGTAGCGTTAAGTAACTATGAAGAAAATAAAACCAATTTCATGTCACAGGCAGTTTCTAGTGGGGGGAGGCTATTTTAGGTAGGGTAGGCAGGACAGGTCTCTTTGAGAGTTGATGATAAGATAATGATAAGAAGACAGATCTAGAGGAAGAGTCATTTAGGAGATTGTAAAGGCTCTGAGGTGAGAACAAGCTTGTTGTGTTCAAGGAACAAATACAAGGTGAGTTATCAGTCAGTGTTGAGTGAATTAATTACCATGGATTATGTTTTAGGCATACAGTAGAGAAGTTGAGGGGTGCAAGCCTAATGGAATTAATGACTGATGGCATTTTAGTGAAGTGGTTCAGATCTTGGACTCTGAAGTTCCACTGGTTTTAAATCTTGGCTCTGCCACTCTTTAGCTCTGTTACCTTGGGTAGATTACATAACTTCGGTGCCTCAGTTTTTTTATTTTTATTTTTCAAAATTGAGATATAATTGACATATAACATGATATTAGTTTCAGGTATGCAACATAATAATTCTATTTTTGTATATATCTTGAAATGATCATCACAATAAGTCTAGTTAACATTCATCACCACAGTTACAAAAGGTTTTTCTCATGATGAAAACTTTTTAAGATTTATTCTCAGCTCTTTCAAATATATAATACTGTATTATTAATTATAGTCACCATGCTGTACATTTCATCCCCATGACTTATTTATTTTATTACTGGAAGCTTGTGCCTTTTGACCATCTTCATCCATATTGCCCAATGCCCATCCTCCTCCTCTAGCAACTACCAGTTTGTTCTCTGTATCTAAGAGTTTTTTTGTTTTTTAGATTTCACATATAATTGAAGTCATATGGTATTTGTTTTTGTCTGTCTGAATTATTTCATTAGCATCATGCCCTCAAGATCTGTCTATGGTGTTGCAGATGGCAATATTTGCTTTTTTATGGCTGAATAATATTCCATTGTGTATATATGTGTGTATATGTATACACATATATACACACTACGTTTTCTTTATCCATTCATCCATTGGATAAAGCGACCAAGGTTGCCTCCATATCTTTGCAGTTGTCATACTGCAGACCTGGGATGGGTGGAGCAGATGGCTTTTTGAGTTAGTGTTTCATTTCCTTTGGATAAATACCCAGAAGTGGAGTTGCTGGATCATGTGGTGGTTCTATTTTTATTTTTTTGAGAAACCTCCATACTGTTTTCCATAATGGCTGCACCAATTTGCATTCCCACCAACAGTGCATAAGGGTTCCCTTTTCTCCACTATTTCACCAACACTTGTTATCTCTTGTCTTTTTTGATAATAGCCATTCTAACAGATGTAAAGCGATATCTCATTATGGTTTTGATTTGCATTTTCCTGATGATTAGTGATATTGAACACCTTTTCATGTGCCTGTATATCTTGTTTGGGATTCTTGAATTGGACTGTATTGGTGTTGTTGTTGAGTTGTATGAATATTTATATATATGTATATTAACTCTTTATCAGATATATAATTTGCAGATATTTTCTCCTGTTCATTTTGTTGATGATTTCCTTTGTTGTGCAGAAACTTTTTAGTTTGTTGTAGTCCCACTTGTTTATTTTGCTTTTGTTTTATGCCTCAGTTTTCTTATATGTAGAATGGAGATAATAATGAGGATTGTTTTTGTAGGTGAAATGAATCTAAATATGTCAAGTGTTTGGCGCATTAAGCACTATTAAATATTAGTTATGGATTTCTGCTGAGAGTGAGGGGTCAGATGGAGTTTGCAGACTTAAAGAGAAGGCAAGGATCATGTCTCGCTTTTATTTTTGCACTCAATGATTGTCGAATGTGGGGATAACTATTTCACTTATTCAGTGACTGAGTAAACATATTTTTTGTAAGAATGAACCAGTCAAAATTGGAACATTACTTGGGGAAAGGGATTGGACAGGAAATGAGTAAAGGAATGTTTGATCAGTTCTCTGTGTGAATGACAATATAACATTGTACTTGGAAAGAACCATATGTGGCCCCGTGGCTAAATCTACTCTAGAGGCAGACGGCCTTCGTTCAAAGTTCTACTTTTTTGTTGTCAGTTGGGCAAGTTAATTAGTATTTTGTTTCTTTAGTTATAATCTCATTGGATTATTGAAGGGACATTGTACCTGTATATGGTAAGT